CTACAGCTGTACCATAATGATTATTCAGGAGGCCATCTGGGAGTTAAACGAACTCTACTGAAGATCCGAGACTGGTTTTACTGGTCTGTCGAAACGATGTCGAGGACTGGTGTCGCAAATGTACAAGTTGAGCGGCTGTAAAGGGACCTCAGACTCGTAGTAGAGGTGCATTGAAGTTGTACAATGTTGGTGCACCATGGGAGAGAATAGCCATTGACGTGGCGGGGCCGTTTCCGGAGAGTGAAAGCGGTAACAAGTATTTCATGGTTGTGATGGATTACTTCACTAAGTGGCCAGAAGTCTTCGTCATTCCAAATCAAGAAGCTTCAACAGTTGCAGATAAACTAGTTCATGAAGTCTTTTCTCGTTTTGAAGTACCTTTAGAGATTCACAGCGATCAAGGAAGGAATTTTGAGTCTCAAATATTCCAGGAAACTTGCCGAGTTATGGGTACTCATAAAACAAGAACGACTTCTTATCACCCGCAATCTGATGGAATGATAGAACGATTTAATCAGACACTGGAGAGGTACCTAGCAAAAGTTGTAGACAATCGGCAACGAGATTGGGACAAGCACATACAACTGTTTTTGTTATCATATCGAAGCGCTGTTCACGAAAGTACAGCAGTGACGCCAGCTTTCGCAAACTTTGGAAGAGAATTACGGCTGCCTGCAGACCTGATCACCGGAATACCACCTGATGCTCCGCGCAGTATAACCAATTATGCAAATGACTTGCGGAACAAAATGAATGACGTTTATGAGCACGTCAGACAATCGGGCCAGGAAATGTCTGAAAAGATGAAAACCCGGTACGACCGCAAAATGAACGACAAAGGATTCGACGAAGGTTCACTTGTGTGGTTGCACAGTCCAGTCCGCAGCAAAGGGAAATCTCCTAAGCTTCAAGCTAAATGGGATGGCCCGTACCGGATTGTGACCAGGATCAACGATGTAACCTACCGGATACAGAAAGGCGCAAGAGGGACTCCTAAGATCTTCCATGTGGATCGCCTGGCGCGTTATTATGGGGCAGATAATGCTCGGGATGAGCATGTCTTAGGAGGGGGCAGTGTTACGCGCCTTAGTCGACGGCACTAGCGCCTAGTTGAAACTCGAACTCTCGGTACCTTGCGCGTGTTTACTTGAATTGGCGAGACAAGCGAAGCTTCTGAGCGGAATAAAGTGAATCAGTGTGATTAATTATTAGTGTTTTAAGTTTTAATTGGTGTAAAGAAAAGTGTTAATTTAGGTAATTCTATCGGCAATTTTTAATTGTCACGAACCTCAAGCTCGTAACAATACGCACGCCATCTAGTGTCAGTTAATTGTACCATGCGTATAACCATCGCACAAGTGCAACCATTATGTTGAAGTTTGGTCGCAATCTGTTGAACGATATGGCATCGTAGAAAGTACGAAAAAACATAAATTTTTATATAGTAGAAAATAATTTACTGTAGTTGATTAGAATAGGCGTTATTATAGCAGCTGATTTTTTTTTATAATACTAGAACTAAATGAACGGTTGACACTAAATTATTTTAGAAGTTATGTTTTTATTTTTATTTTGTGTAGTTGGTTTAATCTTAATAATTTTAGTTGAATGGTCTAAGGGTTACGATGGCTATCCGAGTACAGAACCAGAGTACAAAACTAATCCAACTGTAGAGATGTGTAAGACAGGGTGTCGTAATATCCCCGAAATACTTTACCGCTGCATTGGAAGACGTTTTCAAGATACTGGACTGGAAAGGATACGGTATTAACGTAAATGGCGTATACGTCACTCACCTTCGATTTGCCGCCAATATAGTCCTTAAGGCAGAATCGCTGGAGGACCTACGCACTATGTTCAATGACCTCAATCGTGTCCCAACGGATAGGTCTTAAGATGAACATGGACAAATCAAAGATCATGTTTACTGTTCATGTCACACTTATGCTGGAAGTTGTTGGGAGCACTAAGCTCGAAGTTGTTGACGAGTATGTTTACCTGGGACAAATAGTCCGACTAGGTAAGTTCAACTTTGACCGACAGCTCTATCGACGGATTCAACTCGGCTGGGCAGAGTTCGGGAGATTACAACACATCTTCTCCTCAGGAATACCTCAAAACTAGATACAAACCAGTGTGTGTTGCCAGTGATGACCTATGGATCTGAAACGAGGTCTTTCACTGCTGGCTGTATGAGGAAGCTCGAAGTCGCTCAGCGAGCTATGAAGGGAGCTATGCTCAGCCGGGCTAGCATGAGCCGGAGAGAATATATCCCCGGAGAGAGGATATAATTTTATCCCTTGCTTAGTTTTATCCACCCTGCGAGCATGAGCAAGAGACAAAAATTATATCCCCCGATTATATCCACTGACAAGAGATAAAATTATCTTATCTCTATAGTATATCCCCATTTGACATAACGAGTAGACATATATCTCCCCGTCCGTAGCATGAGGCCAAGGGAAAGAGAAAAAATTATCCCTTTTTGACATTTGAAAGGGACAATTTTATCCTCTTTCGCGGACGTGGGTTTAAGTTTATCTTCAAACCATTTTAATACGAAAAAGATGTCTCGAGCCTATTGCAACTACATTTTCGTGTCAGAAATTGAAAAACAAGAAAGAAAATTACACCAGCGATGGATACGTGATCAGAATACTTAATCTATTGGAATTCTCCGACAACGAATTTCTACGCCGGTTTCGGATGCTCAAATATTGTTTTGTATTTGTGTAAAGAACTCTATGAGACTTTAAAGCCTATTACTTCTGTGGATGGACTACCAGTACATATTGAAGTAAGCATCTATTACAACCACCTTGTCCAAAAACATCGTATATTTGCAATCAATACATGTGGCTTATGTAACTTATCTTAATATTTTTTCTAGGTAGGTAGTTTACATCCTTCAGTCTCTTGGCAGAAGGTAGTTACCTACTAGAGAGGTACGATTCAAGACCATGGCATGGCTGTTGTTCAAACAACAAATAATCAGCAAATACTTGACCTAAATTATTGGGGCAATCATTAGAATGTGTGGAGCAATATACTTTAATTAGCCTCTTGTGTAGGTAAATACAAGTTTAAAGACTAATATACATAATATTAGGAATACAAATAACACAATACTCATGATTATAAAATTATTTATTCCTTGTTTTGTTTGTAATCATTACATTTTTATTCTTCATGTTTCGTCATTTTCAATTAAAATTAAATCTTTGTGACTTAGAGTAGACATCAATTTTGATGTATTTTGTAATTTTCTTATAATGGCAGTAATTGCTGGGATAATTTTTTTTTAATTTCCTCAAGAGGTTACACCACCTCCAAAGGGTCTGTATCGTCCAGTTTCGCAATTGGCTTAATTCTAGACAAATATTTTTTTAATAAATGCTATCACAAGCGAAGTAATTACCTACGATTTGATACAAGCAATGTATACTTAACTTAAATATTATACAAAAGAAAATAAAGAAAGAATTAGAATAATAGAAAAAAATAAAAACAAGGCAGAAATACGCTTAAAATAAATATAACAAATATTATAAATGACATATTGCTTAACAAAAATTATTAACAGTTTAGCAATATAATAAACAAAAAGGTAAAAAAAAATATAAGTTAATGTAAATCTACTTAACCTTAAAAGAAGTTTATAGCTAGTATAGTTTATAGCTTTATAATATCGTACAAAGATGTTTTATAAAACATCTTTGCTATCGTTTATTATCTATGCGTGGGGATAAGTTTATCTACTGTCGATATTATATCCACCATAGGCCCATGCTCGCAGGGTGGATAAAGCTTTGACATAGGAATAAGTCAATTTTATCCCTTGTCAGTGGATATAATCGGTGGATAAAATTTTTATCCCCCGCTCATGCTAGCCCGGCAGGGGTTCAAACTTAGGAATGAGGATATCTGCAGCAGAACCAGAGTGACCTACATCGCCCAATGGATTAGTAAGCTGAAGTGGCAATTGACCGGCCATATAGTTCGAAGAACCGAATACCGATGGGGAAAAAAGTTCTCGAGTGGTAGCCTTGTACCGGCAGATGAAGTATAGGACGATCCCCCACTAGATGGAGTCAAAACTCGTAAGACATGCAGGAAGTTGATGGATTCAGGTAGCTCAGGACCGTGCTTTGTGGCATTCCTTGGGGGAGGCCTATGTTCAGCAGTGGACTTGTGAAGGGTTTTAATGATGATGAATGATAATGGCATTATATTAATATGATACATAAATAGAATGGACGTTACGGGTAGAGTCATCTATCCATAGAGTCCATTCTATTTATTTAGGTATAGGTAGGGTATAGAATTTTTATCGATATAATTTGGTACACTGTCTTATCCCTATTATTAGTTCCGTGGACGTGCACTTCTGCTGTCAGCGCCAAAATGGCGGAAATCAAATCGCTTCAGCATGTCACGGTGTATAGCCAGTCCAGCGTACTTGTATATTATAGAGGTCAGTGGTTTCAAGGCTTTAAATGTTCACTAAAATGCACTTCTATTTTGAATATAATACATAGTAAACAAACATTTTTCACTGCTTTTTTTAAATGTTTGTTTTTTGTGTAGATTAACAATAAAACTATACAAACTTCGTCTAACGCTTTGCAAAAAAGTTATGAACGATTATATTCGAAGAAGTACGTTTTGATCATCACATTTAAAGTCATAAAACTATATGAAATTTTGAGGTTAGATTTTTTCCATATTTGTTCCATAAATCCGCCGTGTTTCCATAATTCCATAAATTCATGAAGACGAAGATTTAAAAAAAATCATCGAAATCAGATGATTTTTCGATTTTCTAGAGTCAAAAAACGAGTTGACCGCGAAAGTATAAAATTACCTTTAATTCATTTACAGATGTTTATTCGCTATTAGAAGTCGCTTTATACTAACACAAAATCCTATGTTTAAAAAAAATCGCATGAGAGCCTATCCAGAAACTCATCCAATGGCCTGATGAATAAGAAGAAGCTCACCCTTGCTGATAACATTGACGTGGCTGCCGGGCTGTATGATGGCAGTCTGGATGAACCACGGCAGACCGAGGCACACGAGGATGTCGAACACATTCGAGCCCACCGCATTTGACACCGCCATGTCACCATACCTAAATTAAACAAATAAAAAAAAACATGTTCCACAAACAAAGCCTACATACATCCCGCTGGTGGGGATATATATTCTCTTAGTATAAAGGGGCAAATTACTATGGGGCAGGTACGAATTCATCGCGTTGTGTCAATGCGTAGAATGTCAGAACCAATGTGATAGAGCCAGGCTGCAGCTATATTATGGTTGTACCACTAATGGGTCGGCTCGACCGAGGTAGGACTACGCTCTCACAGAATACCATCGTAACAGCTTAACCTCTCAGTACCCAAGCGGTCGAATCCGACCTCGGTGCTATTCAGTACTTTAAACCATTAAGTTTTAGTGTATTTAGAGACTACTTTTCTATGAAGAAGTTTGGCATTATAGAATCAATATGAAATTTTCTATCCTCTAGTGCAATAAAAATTCAAGTTATCATATGGATATTTATTTATAATCTACGTTCATTTCGTACGCCATTCTCGCGTGAAAGATATTGTGTCGATTTTTGGATTTCTCTAGTATTTTAGTATAGTATTTTATTATAAAATTGGTTAAAAGTTTTTGTGTAAATGTAATTTATCTTTTTACGTAAATAATTTCGAGTAATATATATTGAAATATCGTATATATAGTAATATATTGTTATGTTTTGTTATCAAAATACAATAGTCTTTTTGTAATAAAGTAAAACCTGACTTTTATATATAGAATTTTGTATAGATTTTATAATCACAGAAAAGTAGTCTAAATATAAGTTTTAAGTGCTTCGGATGCGACTGCATGGACTTTTTGTTGGGATTGAGGAGTTAATATTTCCTACGATGAGTGTAGAGAACCAGAGATCATTTTTACTGGAAACGAGGCATTTTTCATCTTAGTCCTTAGGGGTGACGCACTCTGTATTTAGATTCACGAGTTGTTTTCGTACCACAGCATCCATTTATTGTGAGGTGGACTGTGCACTTGTATGTCACCATTATTCTATTTAAAAAAAGGATGACCAAAGCCCACGCATTGTATTGTTGGTCTGAGGTGTGTCTTCTGACGACGGCCATTTTTTTACGCGGATTGCTAACGCCAATTAGTTTTATTATCCAATATCGATATAAATTCTCACCCTTCTTTGATAACAGCTAGCGATGAAAGAGCGTCAGGCACGGAGACACCGGCAGCCACGAACGTTAGGCCCATCACTGTGTCGGGTATGCCCAGCGTGTAACCTGCGAGTTGAACGCACAAAATTGATTTTAATACCTATGTGTTAATTACATGTCATATCCATTGAGTTATATTAACTACGCACTAGAGAAGCTATACAAAAGCTAAACAAAAAATGTTCACTAGTACTCTGTCTACGCGCATGCTCGGGAGACAGTAGAATCGCGAAGCACAGTTGATATAAACGCGGGAAAATTGTCTTCATAGATTTTGCGTAAATAGAATGATCAGTATGTATGTGTAGGAAGGTAGTTAAATAGAATTAATTTACAAAATACACGGATCACAGATATTCAACTATAAATTGTACCGAGAGTAATTTAATGGCTGATAATAATAAATAATTCGTTTTCACAAATTAATTATTCGATTATAGTCTAGGATGAGCTAGTAGCGGGATACAACAAGTGAACCGTGCCACGCCAGATCCATGACTGCTTTAACGGCGGCCGTTCCTTCCGTTTTATAGAATCGAGACAAGTAGCTACACGAGCGTCACTGCAGGTGCAATGAGCAGGCGTGCGGTGTACGTGTTGTTTACAATAATTCCGACTACCCACTGAGGCGCTTCGAAATATGTAATAATTGTTCATTTGGATTGTATTGTTAATCAAGTATACATTTTTTAATTTTCATTTATTTTGCATATGTGCTAATTTAATTTTCGTATTATTAGCGCGCTCCGCACTGCATGAATATCGAAGCCACAATAACAAGTGTACGGACTGCAGTACAGTTCAGTTGAACATAGTGAGTGTTCGCAATACGAAATCTAGTGCGTAGTACATATATATCGATGGTTATCTAATTTGAAATAAGAGAATCAATGTTTATATATATATATATATATATATATATATATATATATATATATATATATATATATATATATATATATATATATATATATATATATATATATATATATATAAATATTTTGATGTATGTATGCATAAGTCTTCTTTTTCTTTTCTTAAAAAGTTCCGCTGGGTTTGTTGCTGGTTCTTCCCATGACAGAGGTATTATCCAAACAAGTTTTAAATTAAACATAAGTAACTTTCATTAAGTATTATTTATAATTACATTGCTTTAGCATGCTATGTAGCCTAAACGGAGTTATGAATTTTAACATAATATGGAGTTACTGTAAACTTTTTTTACTACGCAGTGTTACGCACATTAATTTATTTTTTAAATTTTTTACCCAGTCGGGGATTTTTCAATTTAGTATTTTAATCATTGGGGCTTATTTTGTCTTGTTTATGTTAACATAAACAGGACAAATAAGCCCCAATGGTTTAAACTTATAAGAGTAAAGTACTAGGGCAAGACTAGTGAAGTTACATGCTACATGCCTATAATATGTCCCACTGTTGTTCAAGTCTGCTCTCATTTCTGTGAGTAGATTATGGAACAATTAATTCGAGTCACCTCTTCAGTACTTGTTGACGGACATTACATATCTGCGATATATTTTAACGCCGCAGATATGCAGACTTATTCATGATATTTTCCTTCACTGCCAAGGATTTTATTTCTTTTTAAAACTTTTATAACGCGGTAATCACCTACATGTAAGTAAACTAATATCCGTTCATCAGGTTTTTATAAAGTTAAATTCAAATTAAAAATAATTAATTTCACAGTTATAATATGTTTTTGAGGACGCAAAATTGTGCTTTTAAGTTCGAATTACTACAGAGAACAACTGAGAGGAGGTGGCTAATAAAAATACTAAGGTTATTCTGATTTCTTTTTATATAAGTGTAATCAATATAATTCTTCGTTTTTATTATTAAACCTGCGATACTCCCCCGCTTCTTAGGGGTGATTTCTGGATCTCGACAACAGCGCCACCTATCAGGTCCAACTATAGCAAAGAACGATCCAGTTGATAAAAGTACAGAGAACAGAAGAGATAAAACAGTTACCAATGATGGTGATCATCCAGACCATGAAGTAGGAGTAGAAGGAGATCCAGAGCATGGAGATGATGAAGGTGACGGGGTACCAGCGGCCGCGACAGTCGGGCATGGTGTGGCGGCACATAAAATGCACCGGGAACGCCACGTACCAGCACGCCAGCTGCAGGGCGTCTGCGCACACACCACAACACAATTAACGTCTAATCATAAAATTATTGTCACAACTCAATTCACTGAATTCCTTAGAAAATCATTAACTGTTCAGGCTACTCCACTCTGGCATTTTTTACGTGAAGACATGCAAAAAACATCAAGCTAATGCTCGTTAAAGAGAGTAATTCATGAACACCTTTAAAAACAAGACATTGTTTCATGATAATAATGGTTTTATATTATGTTATATGCATAATATTAGAAGTAGTACCCGGATGACCGAGATTTGGTCGTTTTTTTTTAAATAATCGGTATGTAATTTTACAAATTACATACCGATTATTTGACATAATAGAAAAAACTGAACTGGTTATTTGAATAAAAAATCATGGTGGTTTAATTAAAATTTTTGTATTTTTATAAAATACTAAAAAAAGAGCTGGAAATAATAGATTTTCTCACAAAAGAAGGGAACTTAAAAAAAAGGAAAAAAAAAAGTCGGACCGAAGACGGAACGCAAACCAAGGCATTACGATTTTGCGACCGCTCGCTATCCACTTGAGCACACTTTATATATATATATATATATATATATATATATATATATATATTTTTTTTTTTTATATTTTTTTTGTATGTATATATATCCGCTTGTGACTTAAGCAGTGGTCGTATTAATGCGACAGCCGCGCTAGACTAACTAGAGAGAGAAATTGTGTTGTAAACGGTATGTAAGGCGTCTAGGGATGGGAACTAATGTTAAATGTTGTCATTACATGTATATTTTTCTTATGAATAAGAATGAATTTAATTAATAACACTAGGTACTTAATATGTTAATTAAACTTTATTTCGTATGACATTGTTTATTTTATGCTGAATGATGCATTATACCTAATTATTTAGCTGTTTGTTATTTCGTTTTTAAAATGCGCATTGCATTGTATCCCATCCGTATGGTCATATTTATACGACGCGCGCGATAGACACCGAAGAATAGTTCAAGCTGTCAATTACTTATATTTGTTGCTTTTTAAATAAGTATTGAGCTACGAGACATAATTTTAAGTAATTGTTGTGAATATCTCTATTTAATAATGGTTTTAGTTGTACCACACAGTTAATAGGACGAAAATAGAACGAAAAAAATCATGCATGTTCTCTGTCGCGGAAATACGACACGAGCGGCAGGGACACGGAAAAATGTGTCGCATAAATGCAACACAAGCGGTCAAAAGGTTAATATTTATTTCTCCAGACATTACCGAAATCCCGATATTTTCTAAATTTCCCCAGATATTTTGGTCTTTCGATCTAGCCAACCTAGGCACAACACGACAACAGATAGCAGTGTATCACTAAAGCCTATTCTCAAATTTTTTTGCAGGATATCTTTTTAACTAAAGGTATTCTATTCAATCAAAGTTATTGTCAACTTAAAAGTAGCTTACTTGCTCCAATAGGCTTAACCAGCGGGTCTACCGCAGTCTCAGGATTGTACTCCTTCGCCTTGTAGTATGCTGGCATGGATGGTGGCGCGATGGGCTGTAATTGAACGTTTTAATTTTATTTACTGTAACGTTTTTTATACTCGTAGGAGAGGGAGTGAATGAGCAACTGATGAAACTTAAAAGTGCCACTGAAAAGAGACAAACATATACATCTATAGGATTTAGCCTGCGAGAGAATGAGATAGAACACAGTATACAGTGTTACCTATTATATTGGTCTCATTTTCTGAAAGTTTCACTTCTACCGTGTGTGAACCAAAGACTTAAATCCTTAGATGTGCCTTCACCTTGAAAATCTGTTGCATTATTTTTGAATGTGTGCGTTTGCAAGACGCTGACGCGCGCACACTAATGCGTGCTATAAGATGATCCCTTTGTATAGCTCTTCCTTGGTTCATCCGAGTATCTAACCAAATTGGTTATTTGAAGAGTACTGAGACAATAGTGTCGTCTCTTATTATCTTACGGAAATTGTGCATACTACTTTCTCTCTCGCACAGTTTCTGTTAGCCCGTAATTATTTCGTGGTATTTTCCGACATCGGAATGAAATAAATTCAATATTTAATCAAATATAGATACTTACGAGTGAAATGTTACACTTTATTTGTGTTTCTAGAATTATTATTGCACTTTCGAAAGGCTAAAAATGACATTCTGAGAGTTTTTTTGGTAAAATCAGCGCGTTAGTTCCAATGTGCAAAGTCTAGCTGTCACTGCGCACAAATGAGCACTGATTGCGAACAAGTGAGCTCACTCATTTGAGAATGAATACATTTCGGAGCAGTCATTTTGTGGTGAGGGCGCATCTAACGATTTAAATATTTGATGTGAACTGCATATATGTTTTTTTTTATTTAATATTAATATTTTGTACACTGTTCTACTTCCAGTGATAGCTGGTAGAGAATGCTATATAATATTAAGGCCGTCTTTTGCTCAGCAATTTAGTAGAAAGAATAAAATAAATAAATATACAACATAACATTGTTTAACTTAATAGCTTCTAAAACTCGGGGCTTTAACTATTCGACGTACTTTAAGCTAGTAAATTATGTGGAAATTATTTTGTTCTTTTTAGCTTTGTGAAACCTTTACTCGTATTTCATCCTTGTGATTCGATTATACAATATCACAAGAAACTCAAGAAAAGAAAAGTAGAATAGCGTCTGTATAGGCACAATAAAATTTTCATTCCCTATTTTCCCACCCTTAGGGACGGAATTTGAGCACATCATCGCGATATTTAGACCTATTTAAAGAAAAAATAATGACCGACAGTTTATAATTGGCGAAGATATGTGAAATAAATACAAAAAAAAAATCAGTCGAACGGTCGAATTGAGAATTGGTGCCTATTTTAAAGACTGCATTTTTTATAATATAAATATAAAGATACCTAAATTTACTTGAACCATGATATTCTTTCTTGTTTTTATAAAAACTCCTGTTCTCGTGTGTTGTGGAGTCGTGTTCATCGTTTAAAACTCAAAAAGATAATTTGGATTCTTATTCGAGGATAGACATAATCCACTTAACATCAGGTGTACTATATGCTTGTTTGTCACCACACAAAAAAATCAACAAAGTCAAAGATACAAACGAAGACGCATTGCATTGCAAATATTGTTATATACTACTCTATGTTAACACTCTGTATTATATCACTCTATATTTCCCCAATTGCAATCCTTTGTATAAGATGGTTTACAAAATACAGATTCATTATTATTAGGGCATTCGATCGTTTCATTTTACCTCCAACACCACAGTGTACAGACCAAACGTAAGCTTATTCCTGGAATACACGTACCAGAGGAATAGACGGCTGCTGTTGTGCTGGCTGCGGTTGTTGTTGGACTGGTGCCTGAGCTTGCGTCTGCGCTGGTTGCGGTTCGACTCCCCAGCCAGACGGCGCTGCGGCTGGTTGGGACTGAAAGGAAAAGTATTTTTGGCGTTTAACTTGATATGTTGTGTTGCCGTGTTGTGGCAGCGTAAGAGAATCTCCCCCTTTTTTATTCATTTATTATAATCCAGTGCTTGATTATGGTTCGCGCATGCTTCTGTTTATACCGACGACAGACGCCGGCAAATGATTCCATTCCTTTGCTGTACGCATTTCCCGTTCTTAACGTGGTAGAGCCATGCTGCAAATATATTCTATTTGTAGCACGAATGGGTTGGCTCCATCGGGGTAGGACCACGCTCTCACAGAATACAAGCGTAAAATAGTAGCTTAATGCTGCTGTGTTTCGTATAGTTAGGGTAAAGAACCGGCACCCTTTTTAGTGGAAATGAGGCATTCCATCTTAGTCCTCAGGGCTGATAACGCATCTGCATTTTATTTCTTAATCGAGGATAGAAGTAGGTGTCCACTCACATCAAGTCACAGCATCGACTTAACATCAAGTAAACTATGCGTCGTCACCGTTATTCTATAAAATAAAAAAATGAAAATAGGGTTTTCGATATAAATTTGTACAGTATTGTTCACAGCTGAACGTGGGTATTTTCCGTTGTACAGAGGACTTGTTATAATCGTCACGTTTGGGCAAGCGGACTGGCTGATCGCTGTAACAGACTCGGTCTGGGTATTTTATGTCTGCCATAAACGAGATAGTAATACTGCCATCTTCTGGTACGAGGTAATTCAGGCATCATCCATAATTGCCTCTTATGACACCTACAAGATCAAAAATAAATAAAATAAGGTAATCGCGATTGGTGGACCTTCTTGGTATTAAAACTATGAGTGCCTCATTGGTTGTAATTCGGTCTAGAGGACATTTTTACTAAAACTATCGATAAAAAGTATATTTTAGTAACTGCTTACCGTTTCGCCCCAAACCTGATTAGGATCCCAAACTTGATTGGGGTCCCAAACGGGGATGGGTTCCGCGTTATAGGCAGCGTTGTCATACGCTCCATCCGGATTGTAAGCTGCAAACAAGTTTAAAATTATTTATTATTAAAATTATTATTAAAAAGAAAGTACCAACTACAATGATCTTTTTTTATTGATTGTTTTGTCCATAGAATACTATAATACATACATAATAGAACGAAGGAGTGATAGCCCGTATAGCCACTAAAATGCCACTAACACGTCAATTCACACGTATAAACACGTCAACACGAGATGCGTTTTGACGTTACAATCGTTTCCAAATTTCGCATGCAAACTATTTAGAAAAAGCCAATTGCACGCTATTTACAAATAAATACATATTAAAATCCGTCTGTCAACACATCGAATCGGTTTTGTAGTAGTGATTAACTGATAATACGATGTAATTGCTTGTATGTGTGCTCCCGGCGATGCCTATCCTCGTACAAAATAAGGTTGACAGCCATTCTATTGTGTATTATAGTATTCTATGGTTTTGCCTATTTATTTATTTATTTATTTATTTATTGCATTTACATGTGGTTTTTTTACAGCACTTGCACTGCAAGTGTATAAAATAAAGCTAACCATAATTTCTAATAGCTTAATTCTAATATTTATATATTTTTTATACACTATAGGTATTATTATAGTATTTACTATACATTGTATTACTATTTACTGTATTTATTTATTTACTTCAATTGTACATAATATTCATCTAATTTATAATAACATTTCCTAATCAAAACGCAATTTTATGCACAAACTCCTTATATTCTTCTATAGATCTCTTATATCTTTGGGTAATATATTATATAATTTAACTGCCATGGAATATGGTCCATAACTGTTTACAGAGAAAGTGGTTTTAGGCAATTTTTATTGCCTTTCTCTTCCTATGTTGTATATAAGGTTACAGCCTATATATATCTCCCACTGCTGGGCACAAGTCTCCTCTCGTTTCTGGGAGGGTTTTAAGGGCAAGGAAGATTCCGCAGCGCTGCCCCAATGTGTGTTGGCGAACTTTACATGTCTTCGAAATATATTTTTTCTTATTTTTCATAAATGCAGGTTTTCTTAGCGATGTTTTCATTCAGCGCCAAGCACGTGATAAATCAGCACTACATATTCATTGGTGCCGGTGCTCATCGAACCCGGTTGCTCGCGTACTTTGCAACTTACGGGAAGCGCTAACCATCTGAGCTATCAAGGCTTTTGTAATCACCGACTTAAGTCTATTTACATTGTTATCACCAGCCTTTTGAAAAATATCTATACAATACGTGAGGGTAATATGGTCATCCGGTTAATATGGTCACTGTTTCGGACGGCAGGGACACGTCCAGTGCCCGCAGTCGCCCTGGGACAATCTCCCACTTAATGACGTACGTTCCTTGCTTAGTGCTGGTGACGCACGTCCCACGCACCCCTGAATGCGTATGTATAATACGACCCCACTGGGACCTCGAGAGAGAGAGAGAGAGAGAGAGAGAGAGAGAGAGAGAGAGAGAGAGAGAGAGAGATAGACGATCAGCCGGGAGGAGGCAATTAAAACACTTTTTTCCTAGGTAACTTCTTGTTCCTTAGGTTTCGGCCTCCTTTTTCCTTGTTGTTGTAGCCTCTTCGACGGCTGTGCTACGACTGCGATTTGAGCGTTGATTGTCATCTACTATGGGACTACTTTTGTTTATCCCATGCAGGTATCGGGCCTCGGGGAATTCCCCATTACCCGGGTAATCCTCACAGCTCATATCTATGAGCCGGTCTTGGTAGCCGTACAAGTACGACATTGTAGGTAATCTACGTTGGCGTATTGCGCGCCACCAGGTCGGTGCTTCCGGAGGAACGACCGTCTCAAAACCCCGCGGAGTCCCGAGGAAAGGAGTCGACGCAGGGCTACAAATTGAACCGGCAGTTAACGAAAACTCGACCACCTGTTTGCCCGCTGACCAACAACGCGGGCGAACAACGTTACGATGCCAAGGGCAGAGCGGATATCCTAGCTGAGCACTTTGAGGAGCAGTTTATGCCGAACCCAGCAAGTGCGGAGTTCCCGGAAATCCACACCCGGAAGGAGAGCCGCGTGCAGGAGCTCCTGTCGTCACCCGCGCCACCGCTTGCAGGAGAGTGTTTCATCTCCCCCCGCTGAACTGCGGAGGACAGACATAAATACTAGGAGCAGACACAAGCTGGTAGTACCAGTTACTCGACTCTACCGAGTCAATAATTCATTCTTGGGGCGATGTATACGCTTTTACAACAAAATCCCAGAAAATATACAAAATTTGTCATACACAAAGTTCAAAAATGTTATTAAACTAAGTTTGTATAAAAAGGGTTATTATAATATTAAGGAATTTATAGATGATAATAACCCCTGGGAAGGGTGATCGCTACCAAGCTATTTCTAATTTGTCTTGTGTTGTTGATTGTAAACATGATTGTAAGCTATTATTAAAAAAAATAGTCCCGCTGGGTTTCTTGCTGGTTCTTCCCAGGACAGAGGTTTTTTGCGAACCAGTGGTAAATTAAAAAAGTGACTTTCAATAAGTATTTTTATAATCTACATTGAATAAAAAGTTTCTATTTCTATTTCTATTACAGTAACCCGCCTGCAACCGAGGAAGGCGCCGGGGCACGATGGGATTAGTAACGCTGCACTGCGACAGCTGCCTAAAAGAGTCCTTGTAGAGATAGGTCGGCTCTACAATGGCATATTGCGGATATCCCACTTCCCGGAGGACTGGAAGAAAGGCAAAATCATCGTCTTGCCGAAACCCGGGAAGGACAGGCGTAGAGCTGCCAACTACAGGCCGATCACGCTGCTACCGCATATAGCTAAACTGTGCGAAAGATTACTGCTAAGACGTCTCCGCCCGTGCATCCAACTTCGGGTGGAGTAGTATGGATTCAGGAGCTGAACACAGCTGACCACCTGCTTGCGGCCGAGCACAACCGCGGCCGCACATCGTTGGGCGTCTTTCTCGACATCGAGAAGACGTTCGACCGGGTGTGGCACATAGGATTACTCTGTAAGTTAGACGATCAGACTACTATCCCTCTTGCTATATTGCGGCTAGTGGCGTCCTTCCTCGTAGACAGGAAGTTCTACGTCTGTGTAGAGGACGCCGAGTCCGCAATAAAACCCATAACAGCTGGTGTGCCACAGGGCAGCTGTCTGTCTCCAGTCCTGTACGCGGCGTACACCAATGACATACCTACCCTGGCAGGACACTTGCACGAATGGGAGGACGACGTCGAACTGGCGCTTTTTGCGGATGACAGCGCATACTTCACGTCGTCCAGAAGAGCCCATATTGCAGCTGCCAGGATGCAACGTCTGCTGGACCTGCTGCCACCATGGTTGGATGAGTGGAGGATGGCCGTCAATGTTAGCAAGACGACCGCTCTGCTCACTCGCCGCTATAGAAATCTACCACCACCGCTAACCCTCAGAGGCCAGAAGATCCCATATGAGAAGGCCGTGACCTACCTTGGGTGTCGGATCGACAGGATGTTGCGCATGACTGCACACGTCGACTCTGCTATACGCAAAGCTCGATGTGCGCGGGCAATGCTCCGCCCTGTCCTGACATCCAAGTTACGGACAAAGTCGAAGTTGATCATTTACAAAACGTACATAAGACCCCTGCTAACATACGCTGCTCCGGCCTGGTATGCACTCCTGAGCGATCATCAGAAGCGGCGACTTCAGGCCCAGCAGCAGGCCAACGTCCGGAACGACGTCATAGCGGCCAACCTAAAGATAGAGAGCCTACAGGAATTCGTGGTCCGGCTGGCGCGCGGTATGTTCGACCGCGCCGACAACGGGCCACATGAACATCTCAACGGCTTCGCGCCGTAGCACTCACGGCCGCCGGACGGGCGACCCTATCCAAGAGAACTCCTCCCTATATAGATTAGAGAGTCGAGTTAACCCCACAATGCCGCAGAAAGGCCAACTTTGACAAAATAATTTGTGTTAAACACAATTATATAGATAACCTCTTTTAATGAAAATTTTACCCGACCGCGACAAAAGTCGCTAAATACATCACGCCTTTACCATCAAGGCGCCCAGGACCGGCACATTGCAGTGTGCCGTGAGGAACATCCGGGTAAAGGGGTGTACCCCGAGGCCCGAGACCTGCATGCCATTATGCCTTGCAGAAGACAACGACGACGCGTGTTGTTTTTATTTCGAGTCGAAACCTTAGAAGCCTTTATTTATTAAAACTTTCACTGTCACTTTATACTTGTAGTACTGTTCTATAATATAAAATAACAATATAAACTATTAAGTTGTTTATACAAAACTTCTAGAGCAAAGAACCCTACAAAATTGTTAATTTACTATACATTTTGTCTTATATTTATTGAAACAGATGTCTGATCTACTTATTTCTTTTTGTTCACATTATGTTACATATAAACCTTTAAACTAACACTAGTTTCCAAGCGCTAAACAAAACTTAAATTTTTTTATAAGTATTTACAATATAAATTTTCGCTTAAAAACTTCCTTACAAAATTATTATTAAAAGCTAACCTTTAAATTTTATAATTATATTTAAATTATATTCTAATAAGAGTTAATACGCTAATTACACTAATTAAGAAATTATAATAGTCTCAAAACACAGTTCGTCACTTGGTAAATTATGCTTTGTCGCAGGCACTAACTACACTAATTAAGAAATTAAAATAGTCTTAAAACACAGTTCGTCACTGGTTAATTGTCTGCTTTGTCGCCGACAGTCACTTTCTTATAACTTAAAAACTACAGCCTTGTTTGCGTAGATGCATCTGTGATACGATAGCTCTTCATCAGTAAATCTAATAATAAAGGGTAAAAAAAGGCGCTGCTTTATCGAGGCCATTTTGACATTTGACATTACAGTAAAGTAAAGTCGATATTAGTATTGTGTAGTGAAGTTAAATTTTTTTAAGTTGATTTTTCGAAATGTTCCTAATTGTTGCTAAAGCTTGTTTACTATTTTTTTTTATTTAATATATTAGTTATAGTATACGACTTGTGTGGTGTTTTTGTCTTTGTCTTCCTATTAGTTTTGGTTTTATATGGCGTCATAAGGTGATCATATTACCTCACGTATCTTATGTTTTCTTACTAATTTGTATGATTTTAATATATATAAAGATGTCTCATCGTGAGCACTGTTAATATCTTGTATTGTATAAAATATGGTCTACAGCTTTCCCTAGACTTAATATTTGCTAGAATTCTTATACATTTTTGAGCGATAAAGAGTCTGTGTAGTTCCCCACAAGGGTATGCCGTAGCCCGCAGCGTAACCACTCGAGCGCATACGCACTGTAGGCCATTTTAGCTGAAATTAGTATTTGTGTATAGTTTTCTATCTCATTGAGTGCATATGTAAATCTAGACAATTTATTTAACAAGTTCTATATGGATTTTCCAATTTAGTTTACTGTCTATTTTAATTCCTAACAATGAAAAATTTTGTACACACTTGTTTTATTTTACAAATCGAAAAATTCATATTCAACTCCTGTTCATATTCAACTCCTGTTTTGATATGGTTTAAAAAATCATTAATATAGTTTCGTTGAAGTTTAATGCCATATTGTGGTATTTAGCCATGAAACTATTACATTAAGAATTTAATTTATTTATTTCTGTTTCGTCACAGGTAATATTATACGTAATATACTCTTTTCCTTTAAATTGTCGACAAGGGTTTTGCGAGCGGCTTATTGGCATTATTACCATACAATGTAGTTTTGAACATTCCCGGAATGAAGACGAAACCAAAATATCCTACATTTTATAATTCGTCAAGTGCTTGGTCAAAAAGATATACTGACACAAGAAACAATAAAATAAAATCTGATCTTATGGGTTTTATCACGTATACCCGACGTTTTACTATTTTTTATTTATATTATTCGCATAAATATAACGAATAATGTTTAGCACTGGATTTATAGCTTCTCAACTCAATATTACTAAAAAGTAAAAAACGAAATTCTTTATTATTTATTTAGATACACTTTATTGCAAATTTCCGCATTCTCTTCCAGTCAAACCGAAACGTGTGGAAAAAAATGTGATAGATGAAAAAAAAGAATAATAAAAGAGAAAAAAACAAACTTAAAAATACTGTAATATAAACTAATATTATATATACCTATTAACGTAAATACATTATTATCATTATTATTATTAAATTTATAGAAGCTGGAGCTGCTATATTAAGAGATATTAATGAAAATCATCATAAAATTATTGATGGTATAAAATTTCTTATACCTTTATTTATAAATAATCTACTACTATGTAAATGTTCATAATTAATATTTGCGAAACAATATATACCATATGAACACAATCCATGACCAATTATCATAATATAAGATCCTAAATAACCTCAATAATTTATTGTTATAATTCCCCCAATTACTAATCTTATATGAACAACAGATGAATAAGCAATTAAATATTTATTCTTTATTTTTTTATAAACCCCCTAATAATATAACAGTTTATAATTCAAATTAAATTTCTTTTTATACCAATATTTTGAAAAAGAATTAAAATTTGTTATAATCCATACCCTCCTACCAATTTTAATATAATTCCTGCTGAAATTATTGAATTATATTCTGGAGCCTCAACATGAGCTTTAGGTAATCATAAATGTACAAAATACACAGGTATTTTTACTAAAAATGTAAAATTATTGATATATAAATAGTTAAATAATTTAAATAATCAAAAATAAAAAAAAACTACTAATATTGGCTTTTAAATATGTATGACGTTAATCTCGTTGCCACTACTTTAAGTCAAGCGACGACCTGGCAAGACATGCAGGAAATCGATGGATGCAGATAGGTCAGGACCGTAATTTTAATAATAATAATAAGCTTTTAATTTGTCTTAGTTTACACATGTTATTAAAAAGGTACAAATAAAAATCATCACAAACTTAACTTAGAAACATACTTAAGAACATAACAGTAATGTGACAAACTGGCCTGTGGCGTTGACCTAATACAAGTAAAGAATAGACTAAAATGTATATTCATATGCGCTATGTAAATTTAGTAAGTAAGTTGTAGTAGGTAAAGGAGACAATCGCCTCCGGGTCTACTAGAAACTTCAACGACCCTCAATGGTATTAGTAGGAATTAAGCCTGTAATTTGTAGCATTGCTTGGGGCCTATGTTCAGCAGTGAACTTTTGAAAAGCTGTAATGATGATGATAATGAAATATTTATTATTATTAATATTTATTTAAAACTGATTTCTAGCACTCCATATCACATATACTCCTTGACAAAGTTCTATATAAATAATGGATTCGTTACTCCAATCTAGTCATCCAGTCATCACAGTAGGTAGGTAGGTGTTTTTTTATTATTATTTTTTTAAAATATTTTAAAGAAAAATAAAGTTTAAAAGTTCACGGGTCAAGCGAATAATGTCGAGTATGTAAACACATGTGAATAGGAATACACACGAGCTTTCCTTTGAATCGCGCTAAAAAGCAGACTTCGAATGAAGAACAGGCTAATACTTGGGCCGAGTAGCGAAAACATCAGAATAAGGCGTGCGCATCAAAGGTCAGACCGCTATTTATATGAAACTTAATTAATTTCTTAATTTAGAATGATTATTTTACTATTGCATAGATCTACTTTTTGATGTCAGATTACAAAAAAGTATTGTTTGCTATAGATGATATATAGTTTTGTTTTACACAGAAAGCAGTTAAGATATAATAACTATATCTTAACTGCTTTCTGTATATAATATATAATATGTTAAGATTTTTATTTAATGGTATTTAGATTTTTCTATGTATTTATTTAAAATAGTCTAATAGTAACATGGAAACACGTTTTTCATATTGTAGACTATTTTTTCCTCACTACACTTGCACAGTAGTTGTATTGAAAGCAGGTTAATAACTACGAAGGAACAAACTTATGAAGTTTTTATCTTTCTTGTCTTAATGACAACACACAAGTAAGAGTTAATAGTACCAGTTTCTAATTCTGCGTTATTAACTGAACACTCTTGAAACTGTTCTATGATAAAGGTTATTCTTAATGATTTAGTAGCGACATTAGTTTATAGATTCTTAGAATTGTTGCAATTATTTTAATTGGCAAGAAATTTTATACATATAACTAAAATTAAACAGTTTGTCAGCTATATCTAAATTACTTGTTTCTAGATTAGGGGGACATTTGCATGATTTGCGTGCTACTGAGATATGTATAACTAACTTTTAATATTAATGTATTAAGAGATAAGATTTTTTTTAATAATAAAGAGATTTTAAAGTAGTAGAGGCTTTATGAATTAATTCGGTGTAATGAGGCCCTCAGCTTAATGTACCTACCTACTGTTACTACTCTATTTACAAGCAAAGATTTTAACTCAAAGAACGGTATAAAGCAATCATTATATAACATAGTGCAATAGACATACTAGTTTTGTAACTAACCAGTATTTTCTAGAGGAGTTTCTTTGGTCTGCCCGTCCATCTGTGTGTACTGACCCTCTGCGCCAGCGGTTGCTGCGGGCGGCTGGCCCCCCGTATTCCTATATAAAATACGAAGGATATAATTGTATACGTTGCATGAAGGGCATGACTCCAGCATGTCTTTTACTGCAAAAAAAAAAATAAATATTGATAGTGTTAGAATTAACCAATGTCCCGTACTCATTAATCAGCTGTTTGTTTCGACTATTATTCAGAAGTCTCTGTTTACACTAGTCGAATGTCATATTTATATAAAAAAAATAAGATCCCTAGACGGGGACAGCAATTAAAGTCAAAAGTGGGAAATTACGCCCTACCAATTACGGTAAATTCTTCTTACTGTGAGAGGTGGCAGAGTTCAGTAGGTAACTGTTCATGAGCTAAGTGTAGGTAAAAATGATAGTTTAAAAAAATTTCATCCAAAAAATCAAAACATATATCAATAAAATAAACACTGCAAAAGATACAGTCGCGAACTTTAATTTAGGAACCATTGAATATCTTACAGTATTCATATTATGGGTATGTTCCGAAATAAAACACAGTACACTGGCCAATGCAAATGAAGTCATAAAACGAGGCCATATTGGTGATTCGTTGTATCGAATATGGTAGAAGAAGGCGTCAGTTAATGACGTCATTTGCATTCCCCAGTACACTGGAAACATTTTGGAACATACCCTATACCTTAAGAGCAGTTACTTTTTTACTGGCTGGCATTTTTAATGCGATTAAAAAAAATAAAATTGCGAACTTGCATATAGTAGCTTATTACTAGGGCCATCTGCTATTAGGTTTTATTATAATCATGTATTATACTAATAATATATGATTATAATAAAACTATATACACACTTGAGGCTTATGGAGTTATTGAATAAAATTCATTTGATTACGTCTATGAATTTGTGACACATAATATTCATATTCGTATCGGTCGTATATTAATAAAGCCTTATACTCCATCAAAATCTAAGAAATATAATTTGACGTTTTACATTAACTGTCCCTTAATAACTTTGTACAAGCGTATTCACACGATTTAAAGTAACCTTTCACGTAAATCCAAATAATTATGAAGTTAATATGTTTCATTATAAAGTATATAGTTCTTTATTACTAATTTAAATTCTAATCTATCAAAGAAATCAAATTAGAGAAATATTTACCAGAATAAACTTGTTTTGCTTGACGTTGTTTCAATGATATGTCGATAAGTATCTTACCATAGTGTTTGGATTATTCAAATGCGAATAATCAGTGAAAATATTCAAACAGTCGAATCTTTTAATTTTTTAATTTTTTAGGGTTGCATAAATGCATGTATTAAATAAACTTATTTATTAATATTTCCTGTGAATTTTACTGCGGCGAAGCTGCGAGTAGTTTAAAAGATGTAAAATAAGTATTTATAGACACGAATCCAGAGAATAACATTTTTACGAGAAATTAAAATTATAACCGATTGGGACAATTTTACATTCATCGATGGCTAAACGCTAACTACACTGTGCCGCGGACATCGACTGATAAAATCCTCATAATTTGCCAGGTGAGATCCGCCGGAGGAGGATTTGTAGAAAACACGAGCACTAAACAAGGGATGACTAAGAGCACCTAGTAGAGTTTTTTATCGGAAACTAGCTTGTTCCTGTATTATTGTTTAAGTAAAAGTTTGAAGTGGATTTTTATACGTGAAAGTGGTACGATTTTGTGTACAACTCGCGGCACGTAGGTCTAGCGGTGACAGTAATTGTGTATAAATGGCCGTATTGCGCGTTATAGCGTATGATTGGCTGTGCGTATCGTTCGCACGCGCTGATTGGCACTTCAGTCGCATTCCGTCCCCCGTACAGATACGTAATTCGCAACTATCCCTTCCACACTTCGTTCAGCGCTAGAGTTACGTGCCGCGAGTTTGTCTGCTTTTGTGAGCTCAATGAGAAGTGGGGAAGATAATACTAGTGCTCTGATGGTGACGCGAACCTCAAGATAGAGATAGATATAGTCATCGACTGTCTGCTGGTTCAAGCTGCCGTCGAGATCTTTCAATAAAATTGGCAGTGTGACTCATCAATATATTGTGAAGAAGTTCATTAAACAAATGATTATAAATATTTCATAATTTTTGACACTGGCATAACCGTGTAGTGACGGTGTAAGAATATGCACTACCCCATATCATCTCGTGGGTGTCGTCAGAGGCGACAGAGGGAAACAAGAAGATGGGCATCAGCATCTTCCTAACAACGAAAAAAATAAAACATCTGCGGTTACCAACCAGTCAGTCAAGCGTGGCAACTATGGCAAATATACTCCTCATGAGGCAATCTAAGGGAAGACGTTCAGCAGTGGACTTTTGATAGTCTGCAGCGTTTGACATTGGCAAAAGTACAACCGTCCGAGTCCTCCAGCAAAGAGAGAAAAGAGCACCTGTACGTGACTAGCGCGGCCTGCTCCTCGCGCGTGGGCAGCTTGAAGGGCAGCGGCAGCGTCAGCGCCCAGCGCTCCAGCTGCGAGTTGAAGTGCAGCGCCACGCAGTACACGCCGTACATCACCAGCATGAACAGCGCTTCCGGCCTGCACACCGACAACGATCAGTATCGTAAGACCTGGCAATTTTTCTATTTTTGAAAGGGCAAATTTTTCAACAAAAAAGATATCCTCAGACAAGGTTAAACGTGAAATTATATTCTTCATAGATTTGGTATTTCATAGAGATTTTAAAAATATTCACAATAATTAGGAAAAATATTTAAAAAATAGAAAATGTCCAAGTTAATTTTACTTTGTGGCAAAGTTGCCATCAGGCTTTTAATGAAAATAATAGAATTTAATTTTAAGGACGAAGGTAAGTATATTACATAATATAATATAAATTGTGTTGCAAGTAACAAATTTTACGCTAGTGGTAAAGTTGCTCCCCCATTCCATTATTAAATTTTTCATACAGACTTGTAAAGCTTAAATCAATTATAATATAGAACAAAAATAAAGCTTGTCACAATTTTTTTTACAACCATTTGTTTTTTTATTAGTCATCGTCATTAGTTTACTACTATCAGTTAAAAAAATAATTGTAACCAACTTAAATATTGTTTTCCCACAGAAGCTAAACATTCATAATCATTAAAAATGACACATCTATATTGGATGCAAAATAATATCAATACACTAAGCTGAAGATTACCGAGTATATACTGAATATACTGAATATATTACTAGTACCCGACAACACAGTTATAATAATATAGATTTCTCTTTTATTTTCCTTCCCTCTTTATAAAGATAGAATCGATTGACAACTCATTTGGTAAAATCCGTCTATTAGGCTGTTACGGTGAACATCTACACCAACATACATACATAGAATGTAAAGTTTAGAAAACTTTCTTTGCATCGCCGTAATCGAGTAAAAATATAGATTGAAAGTGACAACCCTTGGTTGTAGAAAACATAGCAAAGTAAATGTCATATCGTACTTTCATAATCCGAACAGACATAGATCAGGCGCAAGACCAACGGCTTTATGTGCTTTCCGAGGCACGGGGTTAATTTTCTATCACCGGACTGAAAATTTCGTAACTTAATATTACGTGTTTGCGCATACACTTGGACACTATAAACCCCTTCTGCGCAGACCGACCGAAATTGGGTCTAGAGGACAATATTGCAAATAAAATAAAATTACATTGTTTAAGCTCATACTGTCAAAGTACCAAACAATTATCGCTTGAACAAACAATGTCGTTTGTTAACATTTCATACGTTCACACTTATATGATGTGTAATGTTGATTGTGAGATAACTTACCACGACACGTATTTATTGGCGATGATGAAGGGGAGGGGGGGAGAGATCGGAGTTGTCGACGTGTTTTTTGTTGTTTGATTGTGTCGAATGGCGATGGTGCACAGCATGACGAGGATGGAGATGGCGTAGAAGAAGCAGTCGCGGCACAGCGGCCACCAGTTGAGGTGCGACACGGTGCCGGCGCACAGCGCGCACACCGAGATCACGAACATGATGTTGAACACCGCCGACCCGATCACACCCGACACGCCTGCCCCGACCAAGGAAACGTTTTTGATGAGAACAACTCTTTAAAATCGTTGGGGTTTGAAACTACATTGAAACAAAAACCAGACAAATATACATCTTTATCGTTTAGCCTGCAAAAGAATGAGCTACAATATGGTAGTGTTTCCCATTATGAATGATCAGTAGTAAGGGTTACAGATGAAATTGGTTGACTATTTAAGTACTTACGATGATGAAATTGAAAACTTAGAGTCTGTGATATATAATGTAATGTAATATATGTAGAGTAAAGTGTAAAATAATTTTTAAACTTGTTTTTTTTATAGAAATAGGGCGACAAAAGAGCACACAGTCCATCTGATGGTAAGTAGATGCTGTGGCCCATAAACTGTCACTCCTGAGGTCTGGAATGAGGGATGGAATGCCTCGTTTCCAGTAAAAAAGGGTCTCCGAATCTCCACTCTCACCATACAAACCACAGCAGTATTAAGCTACTATTTTACGCTGGTATTCTTTGAGAGCGTGGTCTTACCACGGTCGCGCCGACCCATTCGTGCTACAACTATAATATAGATGCAGCGTGGTTCCAGCACGTATAACAATATTACATAATAATATTCATAATAAATGAACCCTACAATTATCCTTCTCCTGATACATGTTTTTTATGAATAATTGATAGAATTAAGGAAATAATAATATAATACATTTTTGAATTAAATAATAATTTAATACCCTTCGCAAGTATTGGCGTGCAAATAGTCTCTTATTCTTTAAAAAGTGGTAGTGTACTTTGTTTCTTTTATTTACAATATATTTACTCGTTGATACAAATATGTTTTGTAGTAAAAATGATAACCTTCCGTAAAACTTTAGGAAATTACCGATATCATCTTGAGCGCAGAATACACCGATGACAACAGTGGCCAGCTCAGGCGCAGAACTGCCAGCCGCCATGAACGTCGCACCGGCCACGTCCGGTGCTAGTTTTAACTCTGTAAATAATACGTTTTAATTATAACTGTGTAATATTGCTTAAGAGGATACCTTGAATACGAATCGTAGTTTTGGAGGCGTGGCTTATTCCTTTGTCGTCGAAGCTCACGGACGGCTGAGGGAGTTCCAAAATGAAAGTAAAATAAAAGAAAATTATGAAATAGCTACACCGAGCACACGCTCGGAAAATAACTAAGTAAGCGCCAAACAACGTTTTTTTTTAACAAAACTACTTAATGGTTTAAAAAGTGGCTTATGAGAACTTAGATATGATTACTTACTACGCCTTAAAAATAATTCCATGAACTTATTCGTAAAAATATCGTAGTGTCATGGAGAAATGTAACTAATTCATGTATTTTTTTTATGGCAAATATTTGACTAAAACTTATAATAAGTTTGTCTGCCGATAGACTATTTGGTTTCACTATATAAAGAAATACAATGCATTGCCAGAATTAGTATTACATGGAAAAAGGCAGTAAATCAGCAAATTGTACAATTATTATTAAAAATTAACAAAACAATGATTTTTAGTGACAGGTCAATCATCAAGCAATTTATTAATAATTTTATCTCAATTTTTGGTATAAAATAATCTAATTATTATGAACATTATATAATTTTTCAGTTTGTCTAAGCAAATTTATGTTTTTTTATTATAAATTTCCCATTAATATCTATTATTTTCAACAATTACTATAGAAACTACATAGAATGTGTTATATACTAAATGTAAATGACATTTTTAACACTTTAATAGAAATACCATTCAAAAAGTGAGCAAGTATTACAAGTATCTTATCATTCATTGAAAAAGTCCACCACAGTTTCTAAAATTATATCATTAACATTATTAATATCATGAACTTTCATGTGTTTTTGTAAGACTCTTCTGTTGACAAAATTTTTATTACAACTTCCGTATAAGAGCAAGTAGCAAACTTCCGTATTTGTATGAGATTCCTTGTGTATTTTTAAGCCAGATGAAGTATCAAATCCTTTAAAACACAAATCACATTTATGGGGTCTCTCGAATGAATGAGTATGTGCAACATGTACACTTAGGGAATATTGTAGTGCATGAGAAATGTAACTCGAAAAAATTAGAGCGTACTTTGAAATTTTTTTCTATCGAGATAATTACATGATATCGTGTTTTCCTTTTATGCGATCCAGGGTCATGTAGTCAAAAATCATATACCGAAATTTTGGTTTGTAATCTATAAAACTTTAAAAAATATGTGAAATAGAAAGACCACGAAATTTTCGAGGTATGACCTGGCAGCGCTTACTTTATGCAATCGTATTCCCCTGTTTTTTCTCTAATGTAGATATTGACACTAGGGCAAATATTTTTTGAGATACAATTCATATCCATCAAATTACTAAAGCTGCAAACTACTTAAAGGAACATAAACAAGATAAACATTCGGACACAGCCACAATTCTTTTTATATCGTTCTCGAATAAAAATATGAACACGGGTTGATAATTTAGACAATTTTTGATATGTCGAAATGAAATTGTCACTTTCGGTTGTCTAAGTCAGTCGTGCAACCGAAATAGATCGATAAAAACCTATTCTTTAAATTACTTGCATTCTGAGTATGCCTTTAATTATATTAATAAATTATCTTTCGTCTTTAAATTTTCTAAATCTTAAAAATTGTCATCATTACAGGCATTCACCTAATGATAAACATTAGCTACGGCACACGGCAGAAACGCGTCAAATCGAATTGAGTCACATTTATTCCTAGTGTTTCCATCACTAAAGAATCGAATCAAATTGTTCATTCATCGCAAACTCTTCATCAAATTAGGTCGTTTTTGCGTCATGGACAGCTCGGATGAAGAGATGTTTTTATTTCAAATACTTTTTTGATGCAGAAGAGAAGAATAGAAAAAGGAAACGGCGTGCTCCCAAATACTGGATATATACGATATTTATATGAAAAGAAATAACTATGGCGAATTTCATCATTTACATATATCCAGATTTGAAAAGAGATCTCGTTAAATTTTTTTTCAATATTTTCGCTTATCCTACGAACAAAACGATTTTTATGAAAACGAAATAGAAATTAATAAAAGTACATTAGCGCTCATCTACTTATCCGCGTCGACTGAGGCGCGCCGAGTTAATCGAATCGCATCGGCGAAGAATTTCGCCTGTCAAGCAATTCGCGTGGTCGGTTCAATTAATGGACGCAGTTTCATATTAAATATACAAAAGGCGACTTTCTGCGATTCGATTCCTCGGCTTGGCGAGCCTAGTGGACGCGGGTCTTAACAGGAAACCCTTTTACGGATACCAAGGTATTTCATATGAGTCTTCAGAGACGACTACCCCATGTCATAATATCAACATACCATCAGATGGACTGTGTGCTTGTTTGTCACTTTTACTTGAGATATATTTTTTATCAAGGCGTCTTAAAATCGATCATCATCAACTAACCTTCGCAGATCCTGTCAAGACTACACACGAAGTACTCGTCACAGACAATCGCGAGCCCAATGAATGTGAACATCGCCACCAGGATATGAATTATCAGGCCTCCGTGTTTGCGCGCCGTTTGGCCCATCAGTGGATGAGGAAACTGGAAAATATTGAATACCATTCATAAATTCATTGATATTTCTATCAATGTAATTTAATGTAATCTTTATTTATATAATTCTTCTGTCTGTGTGTGTGTGTGTGTGTGTGTGTGTGTGTGTGACGGAACAGATATGTTCAATGTACACATGTGACTGAATTACTCATAAATGAAAGGACTGATTTTGATAAAATTATGTGTGTGTGTGTGTTGATTAAGCTGATTCAAGAATGGTTTAGATTCACAGTTGAACCAGTTAGTTAGGTCGCACTGTTGCCAAGATTCAGTAATCACCAGTGCGAAGCAAAGGGCGAATTGACGATAATTTTTTGTCACTTCTTGACTTTTTGAGGAGTCATTTCATCCCACAGGTGGCAAACCCTTCTTTTTCCTTCGAGGTGCATGTAAGAACTGCTTGTATTACAAACTATTCATTCGGCAACTTTAGATTACTTAAAACGAAACAACTTTAAGCTCCTAAGGTTCCTTAGTGTAGAACAATTTTCTATTAAAAAGGGTTTTTCATGTATTTTATTACATTTACAGTAAAACGGGTCTAGGCAAGACGAAGCGTTTTTATATATAGAAACCCGGCATAAAGGAAATACCATAACTATAATATTATTACATTGTTTTTTATTGACGAAAGTTTAAACAAGAATATATGTAAATTAAAAAAGAAAAATAAAAATAATATAAGTCATACCTGTTCGATAGCGGGCGGGGTGCAGTTTGGTCTCAGTGGATGTACAGTGGGTATAACATCTTTCTGAAAGTAAATAGTCAAATCAACTGTTATAATATTAAGGCACGAATGGGTTAAAGGACAACATTCTCACAAAGTCGAAATTTCAGTTTCAGTCAAAATTCTCGAAAAAGCTGCATATGAAACACACCAGCATTAAGGAACACCAACATTCACTTACCCTCAAATAGATTGTCAACTTTATTTATATAGAAATGGTGGTATGTTTTATATGGTGAGTGCAGAGAACCAGTGCAAGAAGTAAAAAGATTTTTATTGGATACGGGGCATTCCATATTGTTACGAGCTTGAGGTTCGTGACAATAAAAGTTGCCGATAAAATTACCTAAATTAACACTTTAATTTACTTTACACAAATTAAAACTAAAAACACTAATAATTAAACACACTAATTCACTTAATTCCGCTCCGAAGCTTCGCTTGTGTCGCCGAGTTCAACTCTGCTCGATCGCATCTTGCAGCGCCTACTTATATAAATTAGCAAAATATCCAGAATGTTCAAGTAAACACGCGCAAGGTACCGAGAGTTCGAGTTTTAAACTTCAAGAAGTTTAGTTCTTTGGTTCGAGACTAGATGGCGCTAGTGCGCCGATTTTAGCGCGTAACAATATTATATACGTGGTAGAGCAACGCAAACAAAATATTATGGTTGTAGCCCGAATGGGTCGGCTCGACCGGTGAAGGACCACGGTCTCACTGAATACCTGCGTAAAATAGCAGTTTAATAATGCTGTGTTTCATATGATGAGTGTAGAGATCCGGAGACTCTTTTTTAATGAAAACGAGGTTCGATTTCGTTCGGTTTTAGTTCGATTCGAACTCAGTTTTCAGGGGTGGCAACGCATCTGTGTTTTGATTCTTAATCGAAGATAAATGTAGATGTCTATGGGCCACAACATCCACTTACCATCAGGTGGAGATTGTGCGCTCCTTTGTCACCCTTATTTTATTAAAAAAAGGTAACTTTAGAGCCCATAATAGGTCCCAGGACTGGACACAGACCGCTGTCATTTCTAAGGGGGCTATAGAGCAGTTAGACTTCTGCGTTATTTCACTGCGTGTTGGTGGACTTCACAACACACAACCCAGAAATATTTTTATTTATCAGTCATACAGGTTTCCTCACGATGTTTTACTTTACCTCAGAGTACGTGATAAAATCAAAACTTAAAATGGCAGTTAACAAATTCCTGTGGGGATCGATCCCGGGTTGCTGGCGTATGTTAATTTAAGTGAGAACTTGAGCACATTATATACACATTTACGGTCTGCAAGTAGCATCCTATATTTAATATTGTTCAACCGTATATTTAATATTGTATGAGTGCAACCGTGAAACGTGTAGGAATATTGGCTAACCCCCCCCCCCCATATAGTAATTTTTTTTCAAATAAAAACAATGAAAATTTATAAAACTAAACGACATCTACAGCCTACTTCAAACAAAGAAGCATTCGGAATTCAAAATTTCAAATATAACCAAATACGAGTCATAAGATCTACGAGTCGCTGTACAAGTACACTTTTGAATATGGGCTTCCCCTACGCAACGTCACATAGCACGGTTCTGAGCCACATGCATGCATTGACTTTCTGAGTTTCCTACCAGGTCGTCACTCAATGGGGAGCTGCCTTAAACTTTGCTTACCGTTACTTTGCATAAGTTATTTATTTCTGTCCGCGGAATACACACAACAGTTAAACAATCGTATATATACCGGATGAAGTTTTTTATAGTCTGAAAAAAAAATAGGGTGTAACATGTAAACTGAGTAGAAGCCTATGACACCGACATTTTACAAAAAATAAAAACATTGAATTAATCCTTTGAAAAAAGAGCCTGTAACCCTGGGAAGTTACAAGGTCATAGATGTTACCTGCTAAATTTAGTTTTATTGCCGTTCGTAATGCAGGATGGATATGAATTGAATTTCGATAGATTTTAATTAATTAATTTATTTAGTTTAAAATTTTTGTTTTTATATTTTGTAAAATATCAAAACCATAGGCTTCTACTCCGTTCATATGTAACACCCTAGACTGTAAAATAAAAATACGTATGGCACTCGGTGACTGCCGCGGTAAAGCTATTGCATAGCATTTTTTATCAACTTATGCAATTATAATTATTTATTTATTTTATTTATGCAGTTAAGTCTTTGATATTAAATCAAGTTACACTTTTTGAGGGTGGTGACCGATAAGAAAACAATTTTTTTCTCTTATTGAATAAATGAGAAGTTAATATTGTTTAAAATATTTTTAATATCTTACAATACATGTAGGTTATTCAGGAATTTTTATCATTGAGTTAGCAGCTAGTGTACACGCACGCAAACACCGTGCCGAAGTCTGCCGAGTGCCGAAGTCTGCCGAACTAAAACGACGTTAGACGATGCACGGCTTTCAACGCCACACCTCCGTGCCCGTCGGAGTGGGGAGCGTGAGGTTTTTTCGTTACGGAATTTCTGGATTCGGTCCCCGCGCTCAAGGCCCGCGATAGAAGCTATGCAATAGCTTAAAAGGTCATAGCAGTATAAGCGAAATACCACTGTCTGACTGACTCATCGCGATATCTCTAAAACTATATACATCCGATTGACTTGAAGTGTAGTATAGCCACTTATTTCGCAATGTAGACGCTTACTAAGAACGGATTTTACGATAGTCCCATCAACTAACATTTTTCACTTGTTATTTAACATCTAGGTTCCGCAATAAAATATTATCATGCGAAGTGAACGGGTATCGGCCAGTGTTTATATATGAGTCGAGGGACAGGGAAGTTGTAGAATATGTTTAATAAATTTTTTAACTGCCTCGTGGTTGGTGTAGTGATCATAAGTGTCATAATGTAGTCCCGAGTTGGAATCTTGGGCGGGTCAATATCAGTTATTGTGTTTTCTGTTAAAAAATTTTCAGTATCGGTCCGGAGTCAGAAAGTTGAAGGTATGCCACCCCGTGTCTCGGAAGGCATTTGAAGCCGAAGGTCCCGAGCCAAATCTATCCCCGGTCGTATCGGATTTTCATCATATCGGACTATGAGAGTCGGGGAATATGGAGTGCACTTATACTTGAGCACTCACTTGTGCGCTATAGTTCTTTTCTGAGCAGATGGCTGGTCTCCGTCGAAACTGGCCGCCGTCCGAAATTCGGTCTGGTGGACATTATAATAATTTGTATTTACCTTAACGTAGCCTTCATCTTTCTGTAACTTTTTCTCTCCCTCTTCCAATTCCTCCGATCCTTTGATCATTTTCTTCCCACCTTCTGGAGGTGTCTCACTGCTATCGTCCTCTTCTTCAGCGTTGCTAGTCATCGTGAGTGATGTCGAGACAACATTGTCTGTAACTGAAACCATTGCGAAATTTATTTTCTTATATTAGATTATCAGGAATGCTAAGAGTGTTTAAATTAGCTAGTTACTAAACCCTTAGAGTGCAACCTGTGGGTTCCTTTTACCGGTGAAGAAACAGCGTTATAGATTCCGCGGGTATCTTCATTCTTTTATTTTTTTAAATCTATAAGAAAACACTCTCAGAAATGAGCAGAGGCCTGTGCCCAGGAGTGGGACGTATATAGGCCGTAACTTTAAATATTAACTTTTAATATTACAATCGCATAAAAAGATTATACTGTATTAAGGATCGTAGTAAGCCTTCTTTCTTTTCAGATGCCGTAAGTTTAGTTAGTAGTTAGTAGCACTAGTTTTATTAAGAAAAATTGAGAGCGGTAGCTACTGAGGTATCACGGCTTTTGGTAGCTTTAAGATACAAAAAATGATTGTAAATTTAATTTATATTTGAGACGTCTTACCTTTCGTTGATGCTTTCCCACTGGGTGTAGTGATAGAGTCGACCTCGACACTGGTCTCAAGATTATCCGTTTTAGGAGTTGTAGAGGCGCTCATCACAGCTTGGAAGATGGAGTAGGCAATGAAGAACACTGAAACTGTTAGCCAGCGGTGTCTCCGAGGTCTCCGCATTCTCTGAAAGCAATGATTGATTGTGAACTTGTTTTTTTTAACATCTAATATTCCCCTTAACCACTCGTGGTAAGCTTAAATTGCTTGTGTTACGAGTGGTTCACGCCAGTTGTCGAATGGAGGATTCGAACCCACGACCTTTATGAGTTCGCGGTCCACGCCCTGCTATTAGGCTACTGTCGCTTCACTATCATCGTCGTTTAACTAGCGAAAATCGATGTGCGTCCCTTGTTTATTGTAATGTTAAGACTTGGTGTACAAATTAAACACTCCTACGTCTATCACCCAGAAGGGTACTCAGAGACTATGGACTTACATTTGGCATGATCCTGATAGCCTCTATTGCTTCTTTCATATCATTTCATATTCATACGTGGTAAAGCCACGCTGCAGCTATATTACGGCTGTAGCACGAATGGGTCGGCCCAACCGAAAACGGACCAGCTCTCACAGAATACAAGCGTAAAATAGCTGCTTAATACTGCCGTGTTTCGTTTGGTCAGTGTAGAGATCCGGAGACCATTTTTTTACTGGAATCGAGGCATTCTATCTTAGTCCACAGGGTGACAACAAATCTGTGTTTTGATTCTTAATCGAGGTTAAGTATGGATGTCTATAGGTCACAGCATCTACTTACCATCAGGTGGCATGTGTGCTCGTTCGTCACACTTATTCTATAAAAAAAAAACTTCACAAAAATAGGATAATTTGGCTCATCTTAAATGTGGATATAAACATAAATAATATACAAGTGTGTTTATAATGTCAAAAAAGTTTCATACGATATATATATATATATATATATATATATATATATATATATATATATTAACATAAAACATAACATAAACGCTCACTCCTGTCACCCAGAGGGGTAGGCAGAGACTACAGACTTCCATTTGGCACGATCCTGACACATCTCTCTTTCGCCTCCTTCACATCCATACACCTACGCATACATGCTCGTCGGTTAAGGGTACTCCTAATTTGGCCCGTTTTCAATAAATCGCCAATTTAGTCGATACATTTTCGCCTAAGGCGTCCCTTTCCGACTCTGCCATTCACTTCTGCAATATATATATATATATATATATATATATATATATATATTTTAATTACTAGCTTGCCAGGCAGACTTTCTCCTGCCCTTTTCGACGACCCTTTGTCATGTCTTATTTAAAAATACTTGATTTCGCAAAAAGAAAAAATATGGGTCACTCATGGGCAAAAAAACTACCCTATCTCTTAAGTTGGACCAAACTGCACACGGTGTGCAAATTTGATCAATATCGATTGAGTAGTTTAGGAGTCCATCGCTGACAAATAATGAACATATCCTCTTCCTCTTTTATATGTTAGAGGATAAGACTTTATTTGCCGTTTTTTTATAATCACTTCAAACTTTATCGCTTTGTCTCCTTAAGTTATGTGCATTTTTACGATTTAAAAACGTATAAATCCTACTCTTAACTTGGTCAATCTTCAATACGTATTTTTCCCCCCATTAGATCAGTAAACTTTCGTCGGGCGCCGACTATGACACTCACTTTTGCGGAATAAACTGGTATATATACAGTAATCTGCGAGTATAAATGTTTATCTTTTTCATACATGCCTTATTTGTTAATAATTAAATGACAATAAATGATCATCCAATCATAAGTCTGGAGGCTTTACCCGAAAGGAGGTCCATGTAATAAAAAGGTTGTTGATATTAAACTAATTACAAAATAGAATGTATAATTAGAAATTAAATTCATCTAAGTAAAAATAACAAGTAAGAGTAATAACCAATTGTATCGTTTAATATGTACTATGCATGAAATTAAATAAAGCTTTATTATTATTCAGCCTTTGTGCGTGGTAGAACTACGCTACCGTTATATTATGATTGTAGCACGAATGTCGTATGATAAGTGTAGAAAACCGGAGACTCTTTACTGGAAACGAGACATTCCATCTTACTCCTCTGAGGTTCGTCAAAGGTCTATTAAGTCATTCTGCTTTTTGATTCTTAATCGAGGCCAGATGTAGAAGTCTATGGGCCATAGCATTTATTTAATATCAGCAGGACCGTATGCACCTTTGTCACCCTTATCTATAAAAAAAGCCTTCAGCAGTTTACTGCTAATTTTCTGCTAAGTATAGTGTTCAATCACAGCGGTAGGCAGATAAAGCTCTTCACATCTACTCGAAATGTTGGCTATTCTGACCAAACCAATGAGACCAAATGAGACCAAATAATTGGCACATCAGTTTACAAACACAGTTATCCATGCCAGTGATTTTGGTTCTCCAGATTTTTTAAATTTATTTCAATAACAATCACACGTTGGCAAAATTACAAGCAATGTAGGATCTCATTACCTATTGATTAAAACTACTTTTACGGATTTTATCGCATTTAATTTTAATTATTTTTAATTCCCGACGTTTCGGGTGCTTTCCAGCACTCATGGTCACGGGGAACTGAGATGATTGACGTCCCGATGTCAAAATACAACGCGATAAAATCCGTAAAAGTAGTTTTAATTAATGTGTAGTGTTCGCGTAAATATAAGTGTTAGTTTTTCTCCAATAAACCACGACAACTCACTTGTTTACTCTTTGATCACTATGTTCGTTTAATTTCACTCTTAAATTGTATATAATACTTTATAACACACTATACATCACTGTATTTATTTCACAATAGACTAGACTATTATAACCTTCTCAGCACCATTGTTCGTAATCAACTGCCGGGAGCGTCAAGTGTACGCGGTTTTATATTGTGACTCAATTTTAGAATTAATGTAGGTAGTTTGAAATGGATTCATATTAATATTAATTGTGAAGATTGATAAGTAATATTGCATGATGATCATTTATCTAACATACGACCAATCCTGACACTAGACGCGGCCACCCCATAAAAACAGTACCAAAAGATATTTTTTTTTTCCACTTAATACTGACTAAATAGTATATATGCCGCTTTACTTTCCTTTTTAGTAATCGGTTTGTCTTGAACCTCATATCGACCATGACTCAGAATTTTTGTTATCCTGTACGGCCCGGAACATTTCGGAACCAACTTTCTGGTATGTCCCGGCGCCGTATACATCTTTCTCTATACGAACAAGATCTATTTTATATTGCTTAGCTTCTTTTCTCGTTAAAACGAGAAAAGAAAGTTGGTTAAATAACTATGACAAATTTTTACTTTTAGTTTTCTAAATTTAAAAATTAAATCCTTAAATAAATAATAATAAACTAACGGTAACAAATTAAAGGAAGAGAAATATTTATAGTTACAAATATTATAATTTTATGATTACCTTAGATATTATGATAGCAAAGATTCACTTTAAAGGGATTAAATTTATCTTATTCTAATCGAATTGTTTCAATCACGCCTAATAGTTTTTTTCAACTTAGTCAAATCATATTCACTGTACTGTATTATGTCAAACTGTATACACTGTATGTGGCAGCTCGAAGATTAAAACAGCTTGCCACTTATGAGATTAATACAGACACAGGATGTATTCACATACAAATTTATTACGAATTATTAAAGAGGAATAAAAGTCACTGACCTTGGTTCACAGTAAACTCACTTTAGCAATCTTGTTTGCGTATACTCCAAATTGACTTTAAGACAGGATGTCTTGCGAATACGCGTGGGTTGTTGCATCTCACTTCTGAATTTGTCAGCTTTTCTCCAATAAACCACAACAACTCAGTTAACTGTTTGATCACTATGTTTGTTGTTTAATTTCACTCTTAAAATGTATATAATACTTTATAACATACTATACTTTACTTTCACAAAGAAGACTATATATTAATTTAACTTTAGTCACAACCTTTAGAATCACCTTATTTCAAAATAGACTTGACTATTATAACCCACTCAGCACCACTGTTCGTATTCAACTGCCGGGAGCGTTTTTTTTTTTTTGCGCACGAAGCAAATATGGGCAACCCTCCGGAAAGCGGGGGAGGGAGGCGGTGAATGCTCATAGCATACCACGCAGCCGGGCTGCGTGGTTATGTGGACACTTTTACCCACTAAACACTGCCTTTTAGGAAATGGCTTAACGATCTGACTAGAGATCTCTAAGCCGTATACGAACGCGACCCCCTTGGCAGAAAGGAGGGCGCAAGGCCGGGAGCGTCAAGTGTACGCGCTTTTATATTGTGACTCAATTTTATAATTATTGTGGGTAGTTTGAAATGGATTCATATTAGGCCCTGTTTACATTTTGAGAAGTGACAAGTGCGAGTGACAATAACAAGGGACAAATGATAAGTGCTTAGTGCGTGTGAACAGGCAGTGACAAGTAATAAGTGGGAATAAAATGCACACTAAGCACTTGTCATTTGTCACTTGTCAATTGCCACTCGCATTTGTCCCTTCTCAAAATGTAAACCGGGCCTTAATTGTGAAGATTACTAAGTAATATTGCATAATGATCCTTTATCTAACACAAGAAATCATTATCTCTTACCTACTTGACGCTAAACGATATTTTTAACAATTTTGTTTTTATCTTAAATTTTAACACTAAGTAAGTATACTATTACATCCTATTAAAATCCACTGTTGAACATAGGCCTCCCCCTGCCTCCGGCGACCATTGGGGTCGATGGATTTAACTTTAAATTCAAGTAAATTAAGTCATTTCCTTCATCATCATTATCAGCACATAAAACTCCAGTGCAATTTATGAATCTCTACCGTTATAGGGTAGGAGGATATGCTTCAATTGTCACAATTAGCTGAAGGATTGCCAGTCGAAGAACCAAAGTAATTTACGTCTGGCGTAAACAAGACAGTTTTACAGATATATGCCTATATTAATTATTAAAATTTTTATATTATCACGACTTTTTAACTTCGGCCAAAACAATATACCATGAAACGAAATTACTAAACGTCAAACAATTATACATCTATAACACATGTACATTAATATATAAAATCACACATAACATGATCCATTCAAATATAACAT